ATTTTTTTTATCTCGTAGCACCAGGTACTTATACTCCAAGTGTGGTTACAGTTTTCCTGACAAAGGATGTGCTGAAAAGCCAGCGAATACGTAAATAGTTAGGTATGTAAGAGTTGCAAAAGCTGTCACAGTAAGTTGTTTACAGGAATAATAGCGTAATAATATAATTTTCAACGCTTGCAGCACTGCAAAGAAAATGGCACACGAGTTTCTCGCTTGGGAACATTTGTTGTTACAAAACAGAGTTAACAATATGTAACGTCGTGTACAAAGAAGGGAGTGGCGAGATAATCATGATCCATTCGAGTTATCGGATGATATGTTTATTAACTTATATAGAGTAAGTCCAGAAATTGCTATGGATTTGATAGACATTTTGGAACCACGATTGCAACGTCAACGTATAGACGGTCTTAGCACAGAACATCAGGTATAAATTATTTAAATATTTTTTGTGTAAATATCTTCATTAGGCTTATCGATTACATATTAATAAGTAATGCAGTTTATAAAGTTTGTAATATATGTTATTTAGAAATATACAAAAAGGGTCTGGTAATGAGACGTTTAGCAGAATGTTATTTATTTTGCAACTTTTTGACGTTTAATGTTGATTCAATATGCTATATGGAAAAATATTGTTCGTTAAACATTAAGAATTTAAATAAATCACAACAATAATGTAGATTTTTTTAGTTAACTAAAATAAGAAATTTTTAATGGTAATGTTATATATTATATTTAAAATTATAATTGAAAGAATGAAAGAAATTTTATTTTTATAGATATTAACTGCTCTGCGCTTTTATGCAGTTGGGTGTTACCAACGTGCAATTGGAGAACAATGGGACATTGCTGTTAGCCAACCTACTGTCAGTAGATGCGTACGAGCTGTGACCAACACTATTAATGACGTCTTACTTCGTCGTTGGGTACGATTTCCCATGACAGATATTGAACGTTTTGCAGCTAAAGAAAAATTTAGAACTGCACCTCAACCCTTTATGGGTGCTATTGGAGCAATCGATTGCACCCACATAAGTATTTTGGCACCTCGACAACATGAGGAGGCTTACGTGAATCATTGGGGTGACCATACACTCAATGTCCAAGCGGTACGTAAAGTACTTATAACAAAATGTATTTGTAATGTATGCCATGACTAGAGGTGTTAAATTTGTAAATATAATTTGTTCCACTTTTATGTTGTAAATAAAATTTGTTATATTATTTTTAGATTTGTGATCCTGAATTAAAAATATTAAATGTGAATGCACGATATCCAGGTGCCCGGCATGACGCGTATATTTGGTCAAATTCTCCCGTACGTCGAATCATGGAACGACGATATAACAATGGAGAGCGCAATACTTGGCTGATAAGTAAGCTGTATGTTATTAACTTTATTAAACGAACATACATATAACTACATATATAAGTATAATACATATTATATTTACACATGTAGTTATATGTATTTTTATTTAATAAATAACATATATTATATATGTACTTGTTTCTAGGTGACGATGGTTACGGACTTGAACCATGGCTATTCACGCCTTTAAAACATGAAATACCAGGTTCTCTGAGATATCAATACAATGAAGATTTGTGCAGCGCAAGGTCATGTGTAGAACGCTTATTTGGTGTATGGAAAGCAGTATTCAGATGTCTGTCAGCACAAAGGCAATTAATGTACGAACCTGATATAGCTGGTAAAATAGTCAACGCATGTGCTGTACTACACAACATGAGAATTGCACATCGTTTGCAAGATATAGAAGTAGACGAACAAGAAATTTTACATCATATACAGATGAACGATAGAGCTGTCAGACAGGATGAAGCTTTACCAGGGCGAGCAATTGCAATTCGCATACAAGACAATTTCATTGCTCGTCAGTATGGTAGAATGTAAAATGTGTGTAATGTGTTGTAAAGAACTACAGGAACAACTATCGGCGTATAATAACACGGTACTCTATCATACTTTAATTAATTATCACACTAATTATCACGAACGTCATTGCGATTGTAAATAACTTAATCAATTTTATAAATGCGCATTGTTGTTACAGAATAGCGAATGAAAAGCGGAAATGAAACGACTGCAGATGGCCTTGTTGCGTACAAGCGTGAAAGAATGTGACGCGTGCAAACAGAGATTTGTAAGTAGGAGAGATCAAACATGTCAGACGATGCCGAACAACTTATTGCGACTTTGTCGGTCTCGATCGAAGACTATAAAAGAACTCGAGAAGCAAATAGAAGAGTACGAGAAGTTGTTCCATTCCAAAAATTCATGAATTACGAGAATATTTCACCGCGTTGCCATATACTGATTAAATTATCATCGATTACTGTAATTAATAAATTAACATTGCGTAATTCTACATTGTGTCCTTCTGGTGAAATTTAACATTGATGGCTCTAACAATTGCTCTAAAGTTCACATAATGTATAGAGCATATAAAATGTAAATATTTTTAATGTTACGATAATACGAGATGTAGAGTTTTATATTATTGTAACACAGAGATGCAAACTCGATTACTTATTTTATACGTCGACTCCAGATGATAACAATATATTTTTTGCCAATTTTACATGTTTTTAAGATAATATAACTCCTGTAATATATTAAGAAATAATAGTTCAATATTAGGGCATAAGGTGTATATATTAAATTATTATATGGCCAAGTAGTTATAAAGATTAAATTTTTTAGCCACTGTTTAAATTGTTTTACGCATGACACTATTTTATATGTGTAGTTTCAAAAACAATAGTAAAGCTTCTTGCACAATAAGAGATGATATATTATAATACGTTATACTATAATCGTTTATAATCGTAATGGTTATAATATGTATATCGCTTTAAAATACAACTGATAATAATCTATGTAAAAATTTACACAGTCTCTGAATACAGAGTAAAGAATACACGAGATTAAATTTATATTGCAGGGTAGAAAATAAATATCTCGATAAAGAAATAATTATATTCTTGAATTATGCACAAAATAAGAAAAAGTTAGACAATCACAATTATTAAGAGATTTGTATAACAAAGAAATGTAAAATTTAAATTTAATTTTATTTAGAGTACATATTAGCATAATCAAATTTCTACTTACATGATTAAAATATTGCTTGATATAAAGATTTTGTGCAAAACGTTTCCTATGGAACGTGGAAAAACATTACAATATATAACTTTCTTGGCTTTCTAACTATAGGATTACTTCCTTTCATGTATTTTTCTTTCTTTTTAACAGAGATACTAAAACGTGTAATTAATACTTTTACTTATGTATCTTGTATATTTTGCAAAAATGTATTGACACTTGAAGAAGTTCTGTAATATAACGTTTTATTTTCGAGATATTTTGTTGTTCACAAATTATTTAATATTACTTAATGATTTGTCAAGTTTTGCTTTCTTCGTAAAAGTGTTTTATTCAGTAATGTAGCTTATAATAAATACATGAACACAAATTGAGTTTCCATCTCATTTTTTCTTCTTTGTACGAACGGACCGCTATAACTTTATCAAGTTTTCCAAAACAAAAACAACGTAATATTATGAGATAAGAAATAAAATATAAGAAATAAACTTTAAAAGAAATAAACTATAAGAAATCAATTATAAGAATAAACTGTAGACTCTATAACTCTCTTACAGACTATAAGAAATAAATTCTCAACATCATTCTATTTTATCTAGTAAAATACTGAGAAGCTTATGAATCTGTCCCTCTACTACGATCCTTTTTTCTTCTATCTCAAGACGCTGGTTTTCCAATTGTACGCGTTGTGAATCATTTTCTGCCATTTTCATGGAAGCTTCTGCGAATAACTGTAATAAAAAATAAGGTAATTATTGTTATACAAAATTGTTACACAAACTTTTTGGCAATAAATAAATCATTCTTGTTTAAAAGAGTTAACGAAAGAAACAAAAATGCAATAAAAATAATAGCAAATGTAAATATTTACTTTTAAGGCCTCAGCATGCTTTTCTGCTATATCACCAAAGTTTTCACGAGCTTCTTGTAGTTGCACTCCGATTCGTTGTCTATGTCTTCCTACAAGATAACAAATCACAATACCATTGTTAGAAATACGTTAGTGTATTTAACAAAAACATGTAAATTAGCATTAAGCTCGTATCAGACTACGGATTGGGATTGACATTAGATTAAATAATTTAATCAATCAAAAAATTGATCTCAAGTTCTTAGAAACTTTGCTCGGATTGGTCAAATTTAAATCCAATCTCAATCCCAATCCGTAGTCTGATACGGGCTTTAGCAAACTATTTATCAGTAATATTTTTAGTTAATATTTTAAATATTTATTTATAAAAAAAATGGAGAAAATTTTTTCAAATAATTATATACAACTATTTATCAAAATTGATTGATACATATATTATGATACATATATTATGATACATATATTGTGGTATATTTACTCACGATTACGCTGAATTTCTTCGGCTCTTCGCCGACTAGGTGCAGATGTAGTTTGCGAATTGGGTGCAATATTTTCTTCAGCAGCAAAAATGTCTTCAACATTTCTTTGTCTGCGTGGATTAATGACATTATTAGAGCACGGTTCGTCGTTAACGTTTTCACGAGCTTCTTGTTGTTGCACTCCACTTTGTTGTCTTCCTGCAAAATAACAAATCACGATAACATTGTTAGAAGTATGTTAGTGATTTAACAAAAATACAAATAATACTAATAAACATGTAAACTAGCATTAGCAAACTATTCATCAGTATGTAATATTTTTAGTTAATATTTCAAATATTTATTTATATAAAAATAGACAATTTTGTTAAATAATTATGTAAAGTATTCAACAAAATTGATTAATACACGTATATATATTATGTATATTAACTTACGATTACGCTGATTTTCTTCGGCTCTTCGTCGATGAGATGCAGGTATAGTTTGCGAATTTCCTTCAGTAGCAGAAATGTCTTCAACATTTCTTTGTCTGCATATATTAACCACGTCATTGTAGTCCAGTTCGTCTCCAACAGCATCTTCTCTTTCCATACTTTCAGTCTCATTTTCTTCAAAAGTAGGAGGTACATAGCTATCTAAACATATATGACAATTTTATTAAGTTTCAAACTATATTTCAGATTTAACATATTGCAATATGTATATTTTTATTATCAATCTTATAAATTTTTTTACTATTAATACTCGTACCTACCAACAAATATATCTTCAATAGACGTGGTTGTAGGTGTGTAATCTAACACATCTGTTTCCCCTCTTTCCAATCTTTGTTGATGTTCCTGTAAAATCATGTACAAATGTCTGCACAATTCCGTCTTAAGGCAACTAACAACACAAATAAGGATAAGAATTGGTAATAAAAGCCAGTTGCAGTAAATAAGTATTTTATTATAATACAAAAATAATTACAATCCCTGAGTAATTAGAATGGTATAATCGCATACGTTTCGACCCTTTCTTTAGGTCATTTTCAGCGCATGATATTAACAAATCATAACATCACATTGGTCACAGTTTTACGCACACAAACGTTTAAAAAGACTTGAAAATATTCAAAAATAGCACATTAGCTCTTTGACTATTTGTAAGCCTTTTCAACTGTTTGCGTAAAACTTCGAACAGTATTATCTTGTTGTAATTTGTTAATATTATACGCTGAAAATGACCTAAAGAAAGGGTTAAAAATAAGTACGCGATTATACCATTCTAATTCTTCAGGGTTTTTAATTTTTTATGTATTACAATATAATACTGGCTTTTATTGCTAATTCTTGTTATCCTCATTAGATTTGTTCATAACAGCTAGACCTCTGTATTGTGTTTGTTTATCAACTTTGCGTGCGCTTGCGTGCGTGCGTGTGTGTGTGTGTGTAAATAAATGTAAGTATCTTGAGTGTATCTTACAATTGTTATACAAAATAATATACCTCTTCTTCTGGAGTACTGTCAGGACAGTTGACAGATCCTTGGACATATTCCAAACCCATACAGGCAATGACACGCTGGTCCATCGTACTCAAGGGTTGTGCAGTTACAGGAAAGTTCCCTGTTCTCTGCCTTTCATTTCGAAGCTTGGATGCTTTCTTTGATGCAGTACTTTTCATATCTCTCCAAACCTGTAGAAAAGTAATTAATATTATACATTATATTGATTAATAAAAATAGTACAGTTCTAAAACAATAGACTTATATAGTTAGATGTTCTCTAAGAATCTATATTTCATACCAGATTTTCCAAAATTCTAACACAACAAAGATATTAATATTCTACAGAGTAAATGGGACATTAATATACATTGTACATAAGCATGATGTAGCAAAATTGCTATAATTAATATACATAATAATGCAATAAACAGTAACATTCACTCACTCAGTAATGTAACTGAATAATAATAGAACATATGCATTATAATACTTTCACATCGACAAGTAAAAAATTTTAATTAACTGGAAAATCAAAATATATAGTTTTCACTAAAAAAGTAAAATATTTACCACTAAAAATAAAAAATAAAAATTGAGATACATGAGAATCAAACGCGGTTATCCGTACATGAGCTTAAGTCAAGTACTAGTTATTTATATTATAAAAACTATAATTCGATACGAATAATAGTTTTTATAATAATTGTAAATAACAAGTACTTGACTTAAGCTCACGTACGGATAACCGCGTTTGACTCTCATAGCTCAATTTTTATTTTTTATTCTTAGTTTTAATAGCGAGAGTCTATAGCTAATTAATTATCTAAATATCTTACCGTTTGCCATTGTTTGGTTGATTTTTGAGTGCCACTAGACAATCTGTTCAATTTTATCGTTAACTCTTCCCACTGTTTTATGTGATGTACCTTTCCTTCTTTCGTTAGAAACTTGCCAGCTGCAAACTCGGAATGTGATTCCATGTAACTTATCAATTCTTCGTATTGTGTACTTGATGTCCGTAAGGCACGGGTTCTTTTCGTGCTAAAATATAATAAACAAAATTATATATCTAACAACTGTTATTATAATAAAATATATAGAACTCAGTAACTTGCAGAGTATATATTTATTCTCCTTTATAAATTAATACTTATACATCTTTGAGTATTTGTTAATGGACTGATTTAGAACTCAGCGCGGTAAGCGGTGCACACGTTGTTTTTGTTTAATTTAATACCATTATTAATTGAACGTTTTGGTCCTTGTTTGAATCATTTTCAGCAATGTGTTTTATAATGTATTTCTTAAATTGTATGT